AATTCTTTGGAGCACTTTACTATTAGTGGCAATATAATATATGACCTTACTGATCATTTACCTAATTTTTAAATTATTAATACATTTTCCACCCTATCAACCAATGTCAACCCTCCAGCATACCAGTTACAGCACTGAAGCTTATAAAGCAAGTAATATCTAAACCATTAGAAATATTATTTAATGCCTCTTTTCATCAGGGATGGTACCAAGTAGCTTCAAGATAGCTAGAGTTATTCCAGTATTTAAAAAAGGCTCATACACTAGTTTGAATAATTATCGACCAATTTCCCTTTTATCAATATTTAATAAGCTATTAGAAAAACTAATGTACAATAGACTTATCAATTTTATACAAAAGAAAAATACCCTCTATGACAAACAATTTGGATTTCATGCACATTATTCAACAGATCATGCAATATTAAGTATCATTGATAAAATCCAATTGGCAGTCGAGGAAAGGAGCTATTCTTGTAGGATATTTCTTGATTTTAGCAAAGCCTTTGACACTGTTAACCATAATATCTTAGTTAAAAAGCTAGAACAGTATGGAATCCAAGGAATTGCTCAAGAGTGGTTTGTTTCATACCTTAGCAATAGACAACAATTTGCTTCATTGAATAACATAAAATCAGACTTGCATCCAGTATCCTGTGGAATCCCTCAAGGCTCAGTCCTCAGGCCATTACTTTTTCTTTTGTATATAAATGATTTCAATAAATGTTCAAAACTACTAGACTTCCACCTTTTTGCGGATGATTCTAACTTGTTTTATAAACATAAAAATCTTCTCACCCTCCNCAAACAATATACAGAAAACCTCAACGCAAAGCTACAAAGCTCAAATCAAAATTCTACCTTTTCCTGGGTTAGCTTAATTTGGCTGTGAACAACCCGGCCTAGGAGCTTCGCTTTTAGGCTGGCCTAAATCTATATATTAATGTTTATCAAAGGAGGATATGTAGCGTATGTTGCACTGATCATAATTTTACTGAGAATTGCAAAGAAATGCAAGGCAAGTCGTGTTTTGATGATTGAGTGGTGATATTCATAACATCGTAGTTTACAACAAAATTTAGTCGAAAGTATGAAAAAAAAAGCAACTTGTAAGCCATTATAATTATAAGATGGCTTTAACAGGAACATTGATATTCACGTACGCCAATTCCCTATCCAAACCATCCCACCATCTATGCCATTCGTTATTTTTTAGTCGAGATCATTTGCGGTCCCTATCGGGGATCATTTCCCGTCCGGGATCATTTGCGGTCCGAGATCATTTGCGGTCCTGGGATCATTTGCGGACCCGTACATATTCACCTTTCGACATGTATATTTAGTGTTTTTAACGATCAAATGACAGTAATATTTCTAATCATGATGCTGACTTACAGATTAATGAAGTCGCCATGGTGCAGTCTCTTGACCCGTGTCTTCCCGATATCTGATCAGGGTTCTAACAGAAGCTTTCACAGGCGTCCAATAAAGCACAACAGGCGACATAAATTATTGTGAGGCCCGATTCGCCCGAAGGGACAAGCCAGCGTACGGGGTCCGGGAGCATGTTCCCCTAGAAAATTTTGAAATTTTAGATGGCCAAAGATGCGATTTCATGCATTTCCTGGGGAAAGTGTTACGGAAAATGAGTTGTTTATGATCATAAAATTAGATGTAGCAAGTAGCGCTCGTCTCAGTCTGTATTGAATAACATAAAATCAGACTTGCATCCAGTATCCTGTGGAATCCCTCAAGGCTCAGTCCTCGGGCCATTACTTTTTCTTTCGTATATAAATGATTTCAATAAATGTTCAAAACTACTAGACTTCCACCTTTTTGCGGATGATTCTAACTTGTTTTATAAACACAAAAATCTTCTCACCCTCCAGTCTAATATAAACATGGAATTAAATAACATTTATATATGGTTAAGCGCTGATAAACTTTCTTTAAATATAGATAAGTCAAATTTTGTTATATTTCATC